TGTCACTGTTAGAGACATACTGTTTAGAGTGGCTTTAGATTTTAACAATTGAATGGTTTGCCTCTAAATGTCATTTGTTTTGTAAGTGACTCACCGAGCCCATGGCATTGTAGACAAATTCCATTTATTTTCTTATTATCACAATAGCATTTTTGTGACGTATGTTTATCTTTACTGCAATAATTAGGGGGAAATGCCAGTCTGATAAATACCCAACTGACATGTTTCGTATCAATACATTGAGAGTATTTTATTCAATAAAGTATGGATTGTAATTACTTTAATTTTGCACCTTTGATAGGATTTGATTTTGTAAGAACGTGGACTTTCTGAAGGGGAAACTCTTTTTTGAACTCTTTTATGTTCTTTCTTCCAGTTAATACTAAGTGATTGAGTATATTATTAACTGGTTTTCAGGAAATTTTCCAAACTTAAATGAGCATTATTATGATACTTAGGAGACAGGTAATGTTACCAATAATCAATACGGCTTATTGCAGGTATTTTGGCTTTTGGTACCTTAATGTGTGAAAAAAATATAATACTACCATTGCTCTTATATTTCTGATGAGTCTAACTGAAAGCTGGCTCAGTTTGACTAATTCAAAGTTACAAATGGTCCTGGTGTTTGTCACCTGGTCAACTGGTTAAAGAATAAAATTATTTTAGTGTTTTGAAAAAACAGTTTTAAGGGTGATCTAAAGGCTTTTACACTTGAAATCCTTTAGTTACTTCAGTATTTTAAATTAATTAAATGTAGCCCTGAATTTTGTTACCCCTTTGGACATTTTTATCAGCCACTTTTCAACCTTCAGACTTGCCTTCACCTCCTAGCAAACAGGTAAATGTTCATTTTGGAGGATTGTTGTTCTACCTACTGATTCCTTTATCTAGGCAAAAACTCATCTGCTTTGTTGACTAAAGTTAACGTTAACGTTGACTGGTGTATTTGAAAACATCTGTCTCGTATTTTCTTAATTGAATTACAGCATTTGCAGACTTTGGTTGATGTAACTCTCCATTCTACAAACGTGTTGTTTCTCTCCTTCATTTTATATCAGCATTTGTCAATCTATAGACGCAGATAGCTTGACCTTGACACTTTGTTCAGTTTACATCATGTATAGGTATAGTACAGTACAGTTTACTTGTCAACTGCTTTAACAGTTTGAGCCAGTATTCCTGACACTTTTTAAAGTGTCACTTTTGTATCCGTAATTACCAATCCATATACTAGATACCTGACCTTCACAGAAATAATTATCCTGATACATTTGCAGGATTGCTAGCAAGCAATTTAGATTTGCAGTTTAATGTTAGTGGCACTTCAGGGAGAAATTTTCACTTGTCACTAAATTTTCACTTGAACACCTAAACCTCTGTTTGCTATAGCCGAAGACAAGAAAATGCACTGACCATAAGATTGAATATATGGTTACTTTCATATTAGCTCAATAAATAATTTGCCTATAATGTCACTGATGAAGCAGAACAGTGTTTTCACTCTACTTTTTCAGATGGAATTGACTTTTGTAAAGCAGGGCTATCTACCAGCTAGTGTTTTTCTTCTACTTCCCAAGTACAAAATCTGTATTCTCATCCCATCTCATAATCAGAACTAATTTTCAGACTTTGTCTTTTTAAAATTACTTTACATCAATGACTTTCCCATCATGGCTACAAAATTAGGTCAAGGCAAGCTGAAATAAGTCCACAGCGCTATTCTGTTTTCACTCCCACATGGTTAATGTACCTAATAATTATCGAGTGATTTATTAGTTACTTCTGTAAGAAACTTCTATAAGAACCACCATTTAGTGTGTCAGTGTTTTGCATCAAAGTAAATTGATTACAGTTGTGTGATGATCTTATGGTTTTGCTTAAGCAGCGAAACATGATGTTTAAGCACAATGAATAAAACTCACCACATGATATTGAGGGAAAATGAAAAAATGAATGACCATGATTTATTTGAGTCTGGGGAAAGAACTGTTATAAAAGATAATGGCTTTAAAAGCACACAATGGAAATGTTTGGGTTCACCTGGGAGTCTTACGTTTTAATCACAGTGGGGGGTTGGTCCTACCAAAATTATTCTTTTCTAGGAAATATGGCATACATTAAAGGAATATTCAAGCTGAAAATTTGGTTATATGTAATCCAATTACTTGTGTTCATTTATTTTAAAGTTAAAGTTTGCATTGTGACACTGTAAGAACTGGAAAATATTTTTAATCTTCATTATATCATACTGTTTTTATAATTTTGTCACTAATTAATTTAGATACACAGTACTATGTTTATAGTTATGGTATTATGAAAATTAAAGCCCTGATAAGTGGGATATTACAAAAATAAATAAGCAACCTTTGTCTTATTATTATATACAATTGACTCTTCTGTAGAATACTTGGTCAAATTTTTTCAAAGTTAGAGCACTTGTTCATGTTTTTGCATAGTTTTGGTTACAGTTATCCCCTTGTGACACATTGGGAGCTGCATATTGATAGAAAGGGGGACAGAAAACTTTGCATAAATTCATTTGAGAATAACTTACTCCCACAGATTCTAATCATCTGGGGACCAGAGCTATAAAATTGGGACAGAGTAATAGCTGTCCTTTTTAATTAGAAAGATGTATGAAGTTTCTTATATGGGTATTCTCATAGTGTATTCTCCCTAGCAAGAATCAATATAATTTTTTGGCTAATACAGTCCTCAGGAAAACAGCAACTATACCACAGAAATATCAGTATCTCACTGGAAGACAATATTAACTCATGAGGAATGAGCAAAAATAATCTCCCTAGAAAAATAAATACAATATGAAGATGGCAAGTTGTTAGATTAGTTGCGAACTACTTCATGCTCAAAATCAAAGTAGTGGGTTTTCTTGTTTAGTTTCTTTATACATGCAGGAGTGGCTTGTGGTACAATAGTGATATTAGAAGATGAAGCAGATAAATTTATGCTTTGAAGTCTGTATCTAGTTCATCGGGCACTTTGACACATCCTTTTTGCAAGAATAAAAAGTTACACACGGAACCGTAAGTAAGAATCCAACAGCCAATGGTCTCATAACAGTGCCTGGATTTGCTCACTTACAGCCAACCCCCCCGCAGCTGCAGCTCTACAGCTATTTTCAAGAAAGATCTGGAACAAATTAGGCTAAGCCTTCTGCTGAGGATCATGCCTTTCTGTCAGTCATCTCTGCCATAAGCTCTTTGATATTTGCTGTTACACATTTGCTCCTGCTAATTCAGTTGCAGAAGTCTCATTGAATAAAGTGGATGTTTGCTAAAAATTACTGGGAGTTCATATTTTGGTTGGTCCTAAAAGCAAGGAGCATGCATCTATCCGTATCTGATTCCAGGACATGGCAAAGTCTGCATACCTCCAAAGCATCCTATTCTCTTGAATTGAATTATACACATTATTAAAAATGTTTTCATATTATCAGTTCCTCCATCCTTTTAAGTTCTGTTCACTGTAAGCGTCCTACAAGTGCAAGTTGTAGTTTGCTGCTGATAGCAGTTCTCTCTCTGTATTTTGTGCCCGGTACTTAGCGATTTATTTTAGACATGTAAGTAGTCTGAGCAGTTACTGAAATCTGTGACCTTATTTACCTTAGCTTCTATACAGTACCACTGAACTAATTAGCAGTGTTGACATTTAACCCTACAAGGTCTGATTTTTAAGTTGTTTTAAGGTTTTGCACCAGATTGACAGCATAAAATTACATTTGCATGTACTTTCACTGAAGGCCCTTAATCAGGAAGAAGTATAATAATCTGTTTTCAGCTGAAATGTAAATTAGGAGGCCTGGATTTTAGTGCCTTTACTGAAATGAAGTTCTACAGAGCTTTTTGGGTATCTTATTTGCCAGTGGAAAAAAAAAAAAAAAAAAAAGCAAAAATAAGAAATCTGCATAGATAAAACAGTTTAAAAATTGGACAAGACAATAGTTTTAGTAATATTAGTCAGGACCTTAAATAAAAATATTAGTCAGGACCTTAAATAAAAATAACTGTGTTGTAAGCAAAAAGATTTTCATTCTGATAGAATTAAACACAGATTATGTGCAGGAATATGCACTTTCATTCAAGACTACAGTTACAATCATACATGCTGCAGCATTTTTAGGAGAAGTCTCGTCTTTGATTTTAGATAGGTAGGTATAGAGGTAGCTAAAAAGTGAGAGGTATTTCTGCATCCCTCTCTCTCTACCGGATTATATATATTTGTAATTATACATGTATGCATGCGTGTTTATATAGAGACAAATTTTAAAGAGATCATAAACTGATTTCTACTTGTGCAGACAAATTTTGCACGTGCAAAATCTTCCATGTATTTTTTAAAATAATGTCAGAATCTCACGTAAATGATTTTTTCAGGGAGTAGCCTTTATGGACATGTGGGTAAGAAAGCACAAATATGTGTGTTCACAATACATAAATTTGTATTATTTTTAACAATATCCTCCTATTTACAACTATACTTTCACATGCTTCCTTTGTCCCAAAAGTATATATTGTTTTGTGTAAGGTATATGTACTAATTGATTATGATCTGCCAGTTTCACTGTAAAACAGCAGACTAATATGTGCAATATGGAAGTCACCTGGTAATGCAACCAGTATTTTTCAGTGATTAAAAAAAGAAAAATAAATATTTCCTCATTGTTTTTTTTTATTTCCCGAACTCTGCATATCTGAGTTTGATTTCGTTATATGAACTTGAAACAAAATTTTTGGGAATTTTTCCTCTATAGTAGAGTTTTTTGGATTGCAACAAAGAATTTACTTTTCAAATATATTTCTTGCCCCATTTTGAAATCTACAGACACTGCTGGACATTCTCAGTGTAGTGGAAATGAAAATCCAGGTGTGACATGCTTTACCTCATGGATCAAGAAAACATTAACCTTTGCTACTATCATGCCTAGAAAAGAGAATCAAAATTAACTGTCTTTAATATTATTTCTACTTATTTTACAGTTTAACAATAACGCTCAGAACGTCAGTTGCTTTAATCATCTTGTCCAAGCTAATGTGAGGAACAAGAAGAAGTTGAAAGAAGCTGTCTACAAAATCTCTGCTAAAGGAATTACAGATTACAAAAAAGGCTTTAGCTATGCTTTTGAACAGCTGCTAAATGTAAGTGTGAAAGTCGTCTCTGCTGTACAGTGAAGAAGGAGAACGTGAATGTTCAGATGGCCACCGCACGCTCCTCCATTGTGTAACAAAGTGGTAGAAGTGCAAACCTTTATTTAGCAAGTAAATTTTTCCTAACAATATGTTTTTTTCTTTGCAGATCCCCCCGCAGGTTCTTAAGATGTGGGCACAGATTTGGGTTTCAATGTGTTGTACTGGTTTTACTTCATTCATTCAGCTAGTTTGTTTTGTAAGGTGATTCTTGATTGGCACATAGCTGTGGTAGTGGTGTATTTGAAGGTAATTTTAAAATGAGAGGTTACAGGAGGATATAGTGTTGTTTATTATTTCAGTTTTACCACAGTATCTCCTAGCAAAGTTTAGTTAACCTGCATTTTTGTATTTATTACATGTCATAAATAGTCTGCCATGGCTTGAGAATTGCAGGGGGAGTAAATGACTTTGTTAACAGAGGACTATTAGGCAACAGAGTATTCTAATTCCTTTCTCCTTCTCATGCATGAAATTAATAGTTTCCTCAAAAATTAAATGCATTGCCTCTCTGTTTTAGTTACATTGTACTTTCCAGTTTGCACCCAAGCACTAGCTCTCTAAGTAGTAATGTCTCCCCTTTACCACAAAAGTTGGGAGTTTATTAGTCTTTTTTTTTTAACAGTTTTTACAGTTGTTTAAAAAAAAATTCTACATTTCACCTTTATATAGACTGTATATTGCATCTTCACCTTAGTGTAAATAAAGCTACATTAATTTACAGAAGTTAAGAATCTAACTTAGTATGTATTCTTTTCTGTATTCTAAAGTGTATTCTTTTTATTTATTTATTTATTTATTAGTACATCAGTTACGTCTCTCAGTGTACAAATGTTTAATTTTTAACTCTAATCTGCCAGATTCTGGACTTCAGGGAGCTTTCCTGCTCCCTGAGTATATATGCACATGCATCTTAAGACCAGAGCTGGTTGAAAAATTTTCTAACCTTGTTAAATTTTGATGGAGGAAAAAACAATACAATATTTTCAGTAGTATTTTCTCAGTGGTTCAATATTTACATGAGCAAAGGGGTTTGGTGGGGAAATGATTGTGTGCCCTCTGCTGATGGTTATATAAAACTGCAAATAGGATTTTAAAAGCTATCAGACTTTTTTGGACCAGGCTGAAAGGCATTTCCCCTTTTTCTTCATACATCTCATTCAGAGGGAACCAGCAAGATACAAGAAATTTTGCCAAACACAGCTTTTTCCTCATAACATTTATATTTGATTAACTTTGTGTATTACATTTGGTGCAGCACCAGATATGTACTTTCTGTACAGGCAGTATTAAGAAGACCCAAACACAGGGGAAGCCTCAAAGTGGACTTGTTTGTGGGACCAAAAATATTGCTTAAAAAAATAATTGGAGATCAGTCTCATAATGGGATCATCTCTCTTGTAACTGGAGACAGAAGTGTGATTAGCCTCACATAATCTCTGCAAGTCTGTAAAATATGGCTGGATGATGTGGATGTGTATATCAAGGGAAATTAAGAGATTGCACTAGGTTATAGAAATACAGGCATCCTCTCCAGATATTGGCAAATCCTTTTGGCAGGAAGAGTAAAGGGCTGGTGATGGAGTTAGTGCTAGACTGGTGACAAGGCAATATAATAGGGTGATATAATACAGGCTTAAACAAATAATAAAAAATATGCTTTGGGATAGTTTGCAGTTGTATATTTATGAATTCAAACACTCCATTGCTTTAAGGGCCATGGAAATGGAGTATTTTTTAACAGCTCAAATTTTCATAATAATTTTGTGGGTACTGTTTCCTGGATGACAGTTATTTCAAACAATTTTCTGAATACCAGTAATATTTCACTCCTGCCATGAAAAACTTACTGTCTAAAGTGTTGCTAGATGGAGATAGACACTTCGCTTTTTTTCAGTAGACTAATTCAAGTGATTGTTAATAATCTGGATTTTATTGTATTTATGCAGTGTTTTCCCATTATTTACTGTTATATTACCTTGCTATTTCTTCATCTTCAGTAATTCAGAAGGTTTTTTCCCCTTATACCATAATATCTATGATTTGTCAAAAAATTATCTTGAAATCATCTCTTCTTGAGTAGTTGATTTTTGGTTTGGTTTACCTTTTGCTGCCTCAGTGGCATGAAACTCATAATGAAAAAGTGTCCTAAAGTGTCATGTCACAAAGTACAATCATGATCTGCCACTTAAGGAGTTAATTTTAAGGATGTAAAGCTTGTGTAAAACAGAAGCAGTTTTAGGCACAGTATAAAATGGATCATGTCTCGCTTGCTTGTTTGAAAGAAAAAACTCCAAACCAACAACAGGCCTTTATCAAGCACAAGAGAGAGCAAAAAATGAATACACAGACTCAGTTCCAACTTGCATTCTTCTGCAGTTTAAGCTAAGAAGCCAGTTTTTGTCCTGGGGAAGCTGCTGTATAGGCAACACGTTCCCCTTCAGCTGTGGTCTGTGATGGGAAAGCAGAGCCATCCGTTGGACAGCTGAGGCAAATTGTTCAGAAAAATGATGAAATTACTGCATCAGCTTTGCAAAACCACTTATATGCACTCCCTGAGTCAGTATCTCTCATTTTTTGCGCAAATGGGGGGAAAAAGGATGTGTTGTAAAGGCAATTCTGCCTTCCTCTTGATCCCTTGTAAGAGACTGGTGTGTAAGTTCATTCATCAGGATGAGAAGTTTTTATGGTCAGAAAATATCATACGATTTGACCTTATTTATGTTCAGATTTCCAATATTGTTTGGAAGCTGAAATCTTAGGGTTTTTTTTTTCCATGACAAGACTTTAGAGTCTAAACGGTGCAATGAAAGTAAATGCCCTTCTGTAAGTACCAGAAGATAAAGAGAAATCACTGCATTTTTCTGATACTGTATTAGCAAATGCTAAGTAAGCCACTAGGAAAATCCTGATTGAGTGAGTTAAAACAAAGACTAGGTCAAGTTCACATTGCTCATAAAAGAGCTCATTTTTTTTATAATATGAGCAGGCTTTGGTCCCCTTCCCTGTCAACTCTTTGCTTTACCTCTGATTTTATTTTTGCCTGTATACTAAATCACTGAAAATCTAGGTGAATTTCAAAAACCCACTAAAAAAAAAAACCCAAAAACCCCAACAAACAAACAAACAGAAAAAACCAGGAAAGAATTAGAGGAGTGGAAGATGGAGCTTATTTTAAGGAAATCTGGCAAAAATAGCAAATACAAAAATATTCCTGAGTTTATAAGGTAGCGTTTTTATTCCTAAATTATCAGAGTTTTCATTTACGTGGTCAGTGAGCTTGAGAGATTCTGTAAGGAGTGCAGCAAAAAAAAATGCATATTCACTAATTCATTAGAGGGTCATTGTTCCCAAATTTCCACAAGGACAGTAAGGACAAGAGAAAATGTAAGGACTAGAAAAAAGAAGAGTAAAAATATTTAGAGGCCCTCACTGTACAAGTCTCATGCAGAACGTCTATAGAGGAACGCTGTGGGGTTGATGTGATGGGTATGAGCTAAAGAGCTTTCCTTGTGTTGGTGGAGGTGAAAGGAACCATCAGAGCCCCATTCTTCTGTGTTGGGCCAGATCTGAAATAAGTCATATTTAACTCTCATGGAACAGAAAACTTATTTTATTTTATTTTATTTTATTTTATTTTATTTTATTTTATTTTATTTTATTTTATTTTTTATTTTTCATTCAGAAAGTGGTATTGAATGAAATCCTAAAAGACATTTTGAAGTTTTGCCATTACTGTGTTAAAGTAGTAAGCATGTTGATATGACAGCCATCAAATATAACAGTTGTTGTTCCTTATAGCCCGAAATTTAAAAAAGCTTCTGTTTGTATCTCCTACAGCACAGTGTCTCTAGAGCTAACTGCAATAAGATTATTATGTTGTTTACGGATGGTGGTGAAGAAAGAGCACAGGAAATTTTCCATAAATATAATGAAGACAAAAAAGTAAGTGATATATGAAACATTTTATTGCATAAAATACAAAAGCATAAAGAGGAATATTTAAATGTGGTAGTGAAAGCATTTTTGGTGCGTATATAATGTACTTTTTAAAAACATGTTAGTATTGAACCTTAGGGCACTTAAAACTTTTCTGATCAATAATATTTATTTGGAAAAAAAGTAAGATATCTTTAGTATTTTACATGTTGTGATCATTGGTGTCAAGCAATACAGAAATATTCCATAAACCATAAAAAATTAAAGTTTTTATTGACATTTTTCTTGTATTGGAGTAATATTTCCATTATCAAGTAGAAACACAGGTAGGTAAATGATATGAGATATATCTATATCTCCTCACTGTGAATATTTTCTATGTGTTTTTGTTGTTCATCAGGGAAAAGCAAAAGATTAGAGTCTGAATCTGAATAGATTTGTGCTGGAACAAATGCAAATGTTTTTTCCCAGTGAGGCTAATTATACCCTTGAATGTCTCAGCTAGGAGTGGAACGGCTTTCTATTGATGAAATTTGATCTGTGGTTCAACCAGAATTATGGGCTTGACACGAGAATCGCTGGATGAGTTGTGTTGTTCAGATTAGATTGGTTTATTAGCTGTGCTGGTTTTAAGTTTTGAATCTAATCAAACTTCTGGCCTGGCTTTTGTATACTTATAGATGTAAAAACACATGAGTCTATGTGGGCCTGAAATAAAACAGCTTTGTAAATTGTCTCCTACTACATTTCAGTGCAAAGCATTATATTTAGAAGATTAATCACTTTCTAAGTAAAAGTTCAATATGAGCTGGATTCACACTACAACTAAGAATTTACCTTTTCTAGCGCTTGGGGATGTGCCTATGTATGGTTTGGGGTGTTCTGTGTTTGTTTTTTGTTTGTTTGTTTTGTTTTGTTTTGTTTTGTTTTGTTTTGAAAAAAAAAAACCCTAGAAGTTAGATCATAATTCACCAAGACACTTTAACAGTTGCCATGGATGCTTATGTATAAAACAGTAGAAGTATTTCATTGGAAATCCTTGTATATTTGAATTAATCTCTTCAAATGGAGAACCAGAAATGCAAGACACAATTTTCATCTCGACCACTGATTCACTCAGTGACCTTGAATAATCATTTTGTGTTTGCTTTATAATAGTGTTTCACATAGAATAACATGGTGGGGTTTAGTTAATCTTCATGTCTGAGCTGAAAGTACTTTTTAAACTAAAAATTAAAAGGCAGAACTGAAATTACAGCAACTTGTTGTGTGGCACATATGGCTGTATTTTGAAAATATATGCAGAGATTACTCTTCAAATTTGCACTTGGTAGCTTTTATTGTGTTACTACAAGGCCATCAGCTAAAGGAAATACGTGCATAACGGGGAAGATGTATGATTCATTTCTTATTATTTTCCATTTAATTTTCCATGTTAGGAGGAAAGTATAGTAAAATATCGAATCCAAACAACAAAACAGATTTGTAGTGCTGAGATTTGTGTTCTTACTCACGTCATCCCTGACAATCGATTATTCTGTGAAGCATAGTAAATGAAATGTAGGATTTACTAATTTAAAATGGTTATTTTACTGCATCCTTTAATACTGTAAATTTGCACTGCCAAGGGTAGTGTTGGTTTTATATATACTGTTATATATATGTCGTGGTTTGACCCGAGCTAGCAACTAGGACCACGCAGCCGTTAACTCAGTTCTCCCCCCATCCCCTCCAGGAGGGTAGGGGGAAGAGGGCGAAAAAGGAAAAAAAAACAAACCCTTGTGACTTGACATAAAGACAGTTTAATAGAACAGTAATGGAAGAGAAAATAATAATAAAAATAACAACAATAATGGTAAAAGAATAACAAAATGAGTGATGCAATACAATTGCTCACCACCCAGTGATTGATTGCCCAGCGCTTCCAGAGCAGAGATGGCAGATTCCTGCCCCCATGGCAGCTCCCATTTATATACTGAGCACGATGTCTATGGTCTGGAATACTCCTTTGGCCAGCTGGTCCTGTCTATGCTCCCTCTCAGCTTCTATGGGAAGCTGAAAAACTCCTTGACTTAATATGAACATTACCTAGCAACTAATAAAACAATATGCATTCTCAACATTATTCTCAAACTAAATCTGAAACACAGCGACTACCAGGAAGAAAATTAACTCTATCCCAGCTGAAACCAGGACAATATAATATAATACACTGTCATTTTCTTGTTCCCTCTAGTGAATTAGGGCTTGGGGGTTTTATTGTATAAAACAAAAGTATAATGATGACAATGGTTCAAATCTTAGTAAGCACATTTTGTCACTTGTTTAATAAAGTACTGGGTTGCTAGATGCCACCCCTTACTGGTTTTCTTGAAGGTGACATTGGAAATACAAGAAATACTAAGAAAGTTTTTGCAGATATAATTTGAAGAATCATTTGTTTTCTCCTTATAGTTTTCAAGCAGTAACAATCTTTGTGGTGTTGAAGGAAAATTTCTGGTTGAAAAACTTCTAATGAGATTGAAACAGTAAATTCACTTTTAGGAATAATAATGAACCCCCGCGACAATCTTTCCTAGCATTCTAATATTTTTAAAAATAAGACTAATACAAAACATGCTTGTCATGCTCTCCTTAGTAAGACTACACTTGATTTCAGAATGATGACATGTGAGCTCTTCAGTTGTTCCCTCTTTTTGTACTTTAAAGTTAATCTTAATCCAGTAAAGGATAATAACATAATTGATAGACACATTCTAACATGAAAAATACCCATATACTTTTAATTTTGTACAGTCATAGTCACAAACATAGTGTTGTCTTCTTAGATTGCATACCAAGCTGCTTTCATATATTAAATGACAAGATATTTAAAGACACGTGGATCTAGACTCTGTTGTCTTTATTACAGTTAATTTATATTTTATTTCACAAGTGGCCCATTGAATGTAAGCCCAATTTTATAGTTATCATTTGTAGAGAGGCTATTCAATATCAGGTGTTAAAAAGTTTTTGATGCTTTACTGTAGTAGCACTTCATAGTATAAGTATACATCAGCCAATGCCTTTTGTTGCCTGCTCTGCATTTGTTTGAACATTTTTCTTTGTGTTTTGCATACAGTATATAAAAGATGGATCTTTATTATCTTATTATATCACAGTCAGTCACTTCCCATCTTAGGTACACAGTGTTGTAAATTTTCTTTTTTTTTTTTCTTGTACAAACGAAAGACCATTCATTCAAATCTATTAATCTTTGTTTTCACCTTCCTGATGTAAAATTGCTTCAGCTCTAAAACTATTTTCTTCTTCATGTCAGTTACTTTGTAATACCTTGGCATGAAAGCAGCTTCAATAAGTTTTGGCCCATCAGATGACACGACTTAGTACACTTGTTTGCAGTGCCCTCAGTGCAACCTTCAAGTTAAGAAGTGGAAGAATACAATAAACAATTGGAAACTACTAAAAGAGCACCCTAGAATATAGAGGCTGGAAAACTGTCCTGTTAAATTATGGGGTTTCATCCATTTAAGATAGGATACAGATATATTTAAAGTAGTTTTTTGTCTTTACAAATTATTTATAGTATGAATATGGGAGTTATTACAAAAGATGTAACAAAATTTTGAGGAAGAACGTTTATAGTTTTCATCTGTTTGAAGTGGAAAATCACAGTTGTGTTTCACCTTTGCATGCCTTTTTCCCCTCTATAAACCAGATTTTATTGTCACAGATTGCAACTACATGCTGTGCCTGATATTTAAAAACTGGCATGTTTACCTTTACAGTGACATTTGGGGCACTCACATTAAATGTGTGAAATACCACACACGCGCTATATTTCAGGAATGGGGGTGGTAAATTTTAATTTTATTTGCACTCGTACTACAGATGGCTTCACTGAAGATAGCAATATAAATTTAATTGCAATGGAGGCCCAGTAGGCGTTCTCCATCCTGAGAATTCTGAATTCAGGTTAAAATAGAAAGCTAACTACAGCTCTTTGGGGCAGATTGTGTACCCTTAAATCTGTGTTTTGAAGGATTGCTCAACTTATGTGAGTAGGAAAAGACCATAAACATACCTCATGCACTTTGAGTTGTTTGAAGTTTTCTGGCATGGTAGAGGTTTGTGTGGGTCAGATGGATTGGTGTGACTCACACAGGTAGAAGGATCTGACCCCTTAGGTAAGAGGGGAACCTCTCATGTCCCATTTCCACAGAATTATCTTTCATGATTGGCACTGGTGAGGCCCCACCTCGAATACCGCGCTCAGTTTTGAGCCCCTCACTACAAGAAAGACTCAGAGGTGCTGGAGTGTGTCCAGAGAAGGGCAACGAATCTGGTGAGGGGTTTGGAGAACAAGTCTTATGAGGAGCGGCTGAGGGAACTGGGGTTGTTTAGTCTGAAGAAAAGGAGGTTGAGGGGAGACCTTATCGCTCTCTACAACTACCTGAAAGGAGGTTGCTGCAAGGTGGGGGTCAATCTCTTCTCCCAGGTAACAGGCGATAGGATGAGAAGAAACAGCCTCGAGTTACAGCTGGCAGTGACTTCTTCCAAATGGGCACATTCAGCATGTCAACAGAATGATAAAATGAAATATCTATGAAAAACCATCTGCAAAGCTTTCTTCTAAAAGAGAAATACCTCCTACCATCATTACGATAGGAGGGAACCATTTTCTTCATTCGTTTGAATCCATTATCACACAACTGTCAGTTAGTAAAACTGAAAGGTAAGCTGTTATTCTAAGCAATGGTGTATGAATCATTCTAGACAAGGCTGAAAGTGTTAGTCCTCACTACAAAGGACCACTGAAAAAGCCCATGACATTTCCACTTGGGGTAGCCGTGGGATTCTCATCAGGTGTCAGACTGAATGAATGTCTCTTTCTGGAGTTACTCATAGAGCCAAAAATAGAAACAACTTCTTTCTCAATACTAATATCAACTTCGAATAGAGCTTACCAGCTGTCAAAGTGTACCCCAACAGTTCTTGCCTTTCCG